TAGGGACTAATAATACGGGACTTGACCATTCACTCCTAGCAGGCTCAACTATTCCCTCATTTAACATTTTTTCTACTTGTTTCTTGACTTCCCCTTGTTGAGAATAAGGTAACCTATACGTTTTAACATAAACAGGATCCGTATTTGGTTTTAAATGAATTTGTTGCTCGTATATATTCGTTACCGATAATTTATCCCCGGGTAGGTAAAATATATCAGGAAATTTTGCACACAGACTTTCAATCGACACTCTTTCTTCGTCATTCAGATGATTTAAATGTAGCATGGAAAATAATCTTTTCACTCTTTCAGAATTTCTCTCACATTTTTCAAACGCACATATATTGAAATTTTCCACGCTATGTATAATCGGTACAATATCTTTTAAAGTTAAGTCTTTTTCCGTACTTTTAATATCTTAACAGGGATTTTCCCATCACGCGGCGTCACTATTGAATTCGCTAAAAAAACTCCATCACGCAACTCTTTTGAATAAACTACACCGTCTCCTTTAAAATTAGTATTGATAAAATGAATAGATTCTGATCTCGACGGAATGAATAAACAATCATCATAATTATGTCGCAAAGTCGAAAGATATATTCTTTCATTATTTATGTTTAATAATGATAACGAACTCGTCTCGTAATTCAATATAGCAGAGTAGTTATTTAAAAAGTCACTACCAATAATACCACTTGCCTTACAAGGTAAGGTATGGAATACATAGAACTTGTGACTAAATGTATTGCCTTTCGCTTGTAAATCTAAACAAACGTGTCCAATAGCTTCTATAGTACCGCCAACACCTCTAATAACAGTCTTCTCTATATGGAAAGGAATGTTGTGTGCATGAATATGTTTATGTTCTATGGCTGAAATTGATGCGCCCGTATCAAGTAACCAATCCAGAGTACATGCATCGCTAATGTTGAATTTAATTGAAAGTGAATTATGATCACAAGTAAAAAGAAAATCTTTAGGTACGAAAAAACTTGTTTTCGTTTACCACGTTATCTACTGTTTGGGATTGGGGTTGACTTTTTGTCAAAACATTCAAATGTTGGGAATGCATCCTTTGATTGCCAAAATTGCTATTACGATAGTATTTACCTCTAAATGAAGGCCTCGACCTCGAATCACCTCGGGATCCACGATGTCCTTGACTCCATTCACGAGCAGAACCAGCTGCATGTGCACCATGCGAGTAATAACTCGAGTTACCTCTTTGATTTGGCGTACTTCTACCGCGATAGTTGTGGTTAAAGTTAAAACGCCCACGACCTTGTCTGTAATTAAAATTATTATTACGACTCATTGACAAAATACCGTTTGACGTGGAAGGTGTAGCCACCTCCTCGTCTATGGCGGCCTGTATGGCGTCCTTCAAGGACTCAAAATTGCGAGCTGCAATGATAGTGCTGTTCCTTGGATTACGTAAGCCATCCGCAAAGCGCTTTATAGCTTGCTGCTCGTTTACAGACTTCAGAACACTATAGTTATTGTCATTTCCATTAGCTTGCGTAATTGTAAGATCAACGAATAATTCGGTCATTTTTTGGCCATAATCGTTGATAGACAAATCGTTTTGTCTAAAAGATTGTAACTTTGTTTGCATGGCGGAAGCGGATTTTTTAGGTAGTAAATGCTTTCGCATATCTTGTAATAATTCATCTATTGTGGGATAGGTGCGACACAAACATAATTTTGCTGAGTGATTTAACCGATTTTTTAATACAAAATTAATAAGATCAATTCGTGATTCATTTGTAAGAGTAGTGCTATAATACTCGATGCCATCGATCAATTTCTCAGTAGTAGTCATTTTACCATCCATAACAGGCAATAGGCTTAACGCAATCTTCAAGTTAAATTCCATGGTTACAGTTTTGATAATAGGGCACTCACTACAAAGTTCTATTATTTTAGAATATATGTTTTTAAACTTTAAACAATATTCATTTATTAAGAGACGCTCGTCTTTTGAAAGTCTGCCTAAATTAATAGATTCATTAATATTTTTGAGGCTTTCACTATACTTAGTATTTATTAAATTGGCCTCACCAAGCTTTTTTACGAGTACTTCACCTTTTCTACGAGATGGTCCGATTTTCACCAAGTATGTTTTTATATTTAATAATTCATCAAGCAACTCTTTTAATAAATCGGCCATAACATAGTAATCATATGCATAACAATAGAAGAAATTAGTATTACATTATAAAAAGATTTTTTTACTTGGGTACTTAGGTAGCATATATTATGCTCTAAAAAAAAAAGTAAATTAAGATTAAAACGTGTCCTGTGTCTGATTTTACCCGATTTAGATAACTATTGTCACTTTCCGCACATTACTAACACTAACACAATTTTTTTTTTTTAAGGCACTTCCACTTTGCACCGCACTTTTCTTTTTTTTTTTTTTTTTTTTTTATTATTATTACTTTTTTCTTTTTATGCACTTTGACACTTTTTCTTACCGCACATTTATATTAATAGACGTATTTCGTACTGCCTTACAATGCCCAGCATTATGCGGTTTCTTCTTTAAAACCCCTGCGAGCCTCTCGCCGGAATAAGGACAGCTGTCTTTGCAACGACCTATGGTCTATTTCTTGCCTCATCCAGTCTAAATGACATTTGCGATAGATCTTGTAAATGCCAAAAAGTGCAGCACAGCACAGCAACGTTGTCATCAAAATTAGCAAAATATTTGTGATGCTTAGATGGTACCCAATATTGTTTGTGGCCGCTCCAGCAGCGTTCTGCGCAAGGATGACCTCGTCTTTAGACTGGCTACCACCCATTTTGACCTTGTATATTGGCCGAAATTTCGTAAACGATGTAAGGTACCGGTCTTATATACCGCACAAAATGTTCTGCCATCGCGACAAATAGAAATTCGAGTACTCTGTATCTTAACGGACCACACAGGACGCGCGCACGCGCCTTTTATGGCAGGGTCGCCATGTGACGTTGGGAGTCTATGTAAATAATACTCAGTTGAATGTGAATGCAAGACTGACTATAATTCGAATCAATACATTGTTTTATAGTTTCTCTTATATCTATCTTACATCTACTACATCACACGGACAACCCTGTCGGAAGTGCTCGTCGAAGAGCCACCTACCGTCTAGGACCAGACGCAGGTACCTCATCTGGGCCCGGACCGGTACGAGGACCGAGCCGACCTCGATTGAGGCGCCGGCGGGTGGACCACGACGGGGCCCATGAAATAATAGGGCCTCCGTCTTATCCAGGGCCACCCGCAAACCCAACGCCTCAATGCGCCCGACCACCAGGGAAACTCCCGTGGCGGCCAGGCGTTAAGGAAGTTAGCCCCCCGGGCCGTGACTAAAGTGTCATCTGCGTAGCAGAGTACACCCAGCCCGGGGGGGAGACGCCCTCGTAGGGCCCAGTCGTATCCAATGTTCCACAGGAGTGGTCCTAGGACAGACCCCTGCGGAACACCGCACGACATGGCCCTGCGCCTCCATACAGTCCTGACCTAAGCCTTAACAATTTCTTTACATTTCCTAAAATTAAGAAAAGTCTTCGTGGTCAAAAGTTCCAGTCCGGTGAAGAAGCAGTCGACGCTTTCAAGTCAGCCATTTTGAACACCCCCACTTTAGAGTGGAATAACTGGTTTGAACGAATTAAAAAGTGTATTAAGCTACATGCTGAATACTTTGAAAAACAATAAAAAGTACTATAAGGTTCTAGTTTTGTTTTTTTTCTTCAAACGAAAAAACTTAAAAGGCATGCCTCGTAAATGCCCGGGATTTCAAAATTTAACACCTAATGAACGTTTTAAATTTATAAAGTCGCATTCATACTGTATCAATTGCTTGAGTGAGAATCATCGCACTTCCATATTTCCGCATCTCCTATTATCTGAAAGAATACAATGTGACGTCAAGCTTTACGCATTAGAAACACTATTAGGATATATAGATTATAATAGGGTCTGCTCCCGTTAAGCTGAATGCAAATACTTTTGGTATTGGTTGTGGGCTTCGTTTTCCGCATTTAGACTCAAGAGTGGTCCTTTATGCGTCGAGGATTGGTTAGCTAGGTGAGCCAACCAAACTCCTTCCAGAAGCGCAGAAGCCTCCTGGGGCGTTCACAGGCTTCTAGGAGCGATCTTATCTCAGGAATGATACTTGCCCATTGTGCGGCCACTCCCTCGCATTCCAGGACTACGTTGGCGGCCGTTTCCTTTGCTTCCAGACATACCCTGCACAGAGGGCTGTCCGTCGCATTGATGATGAATAGCCCTTTCGGACCGCTCCAATACAATTGTGCGGGTCACAAAGTCGAGTTTATTTCATTAGTTTTACGTTGGTAGCGGCCGGGCACAGTATCGTACGATTGTGCGGGAAGCGAACTTGCCCCTCCCGCGCTAATTTTGTCCGACGTTCAGTCGGCGAACAGGTTTACACCCGTAGAGTTCGTGAACGATTGCGCTCCCCGACTTGGCGAAAGTAAGTACCTATTATTGTTTTATTTTGTAAGTGTAGTAATATCCGTGTTATTGATTACAAAAATAGTTAAATATAGGATGTTTTTGTGATAATAGTGACTATATGCAAGCAAACGCTTAGGCATAGCAGCTTAACGAACTTTATTGACACAATAAAAGAAATGTTTGGATATGGTAATAGATTAAAACGAGTTCATAAATAGGGAAGCAGGTACCCAGGAAATAGTCAGGTTACACATATTTATGTATTGTTTGTCTTGAAATTATTTTGTTTGTTGAGTTAGTACACCGTTGTAGGAGTAATTTAAAAACTAGCATGTAAGTACATAGGTTATTATATATTGAGCGGACCGCCTACAAACTGTTAGAACAGTTTGGCGAATCGAGAACATGTAAACAAGTGTAAATAAAGTGTGATTAAGTTTATAATAAAATAAAAAAATAGTATCGACGTGGGCCGTACGTTACTTCAGGCGTATTTTTAATGATAATTATTTTTTTCAGTTTCCGCACCATGTTGCCGGATTTAAACGATGCTGCTATCGCAGAGATGCTCATTGACTCTGGGGACAAGGGTGACGATAATGACGAAATCGATTTGGATTGCTGTAATGAAGAAAACTCCGAATATTCAAGTACCTCTTCTTCTGATGAAGGCAAGAATAATGATCACGATAACATACCTCTGAGTATGCTAACAGCATGGCAAAAGAAGCCCTTCAATAGCAAACCCCTTCCAGAAGATGCTGTTCGTGATCCAGGAGATATTAAAACCCCATACGAATATTTCGAGTGCTATTTTACTGTCGAGATCATGGAACAGATGGCTTTGAGCACAAATCAATATTATATGGAGAATACTGGTTTACAAATGAAACCTTCTTCTCTACTGGACATAAAGAAGTTTTTCGGAATACATGCCATAGTTGGGTGTATAAAATTTCCAAGACTAAAGATGATTTGGAGCGAAAAATACAGGTATGACCCGATTGCAAATGCCATGTCTAGGGAACGGTTTTTCCTTCTTAGAACAAACTTGCATTGTTTAGACGTCACAGCGGTGAATCAGACCGAAGAACAAGCCAAAACTAGATTATGGAGGGTGCAGCCTGTTATCGATGTCGTCCGAAACAGATGCTTGCAGTTGCCTAGAGATGCTGGTAACTATTCAATCGACGAACAAATGATACCTTTTGAAGGTCGGTGCGATTTAAAGGTAGTCGTAAAAAACAAACCTCGTCCAGCAGGATTGAAGAATTTCGTGGTAACTACCTACAACGGACAAGTTCTAGACTTTGAAATTTATCAAGGCTCTACAACATACTTACCTGATTCAGAGAATTTTGGAATTGGTGCTGCTGTTATATTACGCTTGGCTAATACACTCCCAGAAGGAAGTTTTCTTTATTGCGATCGGTATTTTTCCTCACTGCCTTTGATGAAAGAGTTAGTTAAAAGAAAACTAGAAGGAACAGGAACTTTGATGGCTAATCGGTTTAACACCAAGAAGAAAACGCTATATGAATTCAAAAAAGATCATAGGATGACTAGAGGAGAAGATGAGGAGGTTGTCAACAGGGAAAACACCATGAGCGTCGTAAAATGGAAGGACAATAAAGGAGTACTCATGGTCTCAACAGCCTTTTGGAGCAGAGCCGCGAACCCAGGTATCAAGATGGGATAAAAAGAGGAAACGATACATTGAAGTCCCATGTCCAGCCATAGTAAAAATTACAATACTTTCATGGGTGGTGTTGATATTTGCGACCAGATGTTGGAGACTTATCGAACCTGGCGCAAATCCAGAAAGTGGCCTGTGAAGGTGATCATCCACATGTTTGACCTGGCTATAGTAAACTCTTGGTTTGAGTATCGTGCTGACTGTAAAGCAAATAATCGGAAATCTAAACACATCTTAGATTTGCTGGCATTCCGATTGTCTATTAGTGACCACCTTCTGAATGGCCCTCCAAGAAAAAGACCAAGGGAAGATCTGGAATTTGCTGATATGCCTACCTCTTCTAAATATAGAGTGAAGTCTCTTCCCACGATCGACCGACAGTACGACGGATTTAACCACTGGCCAATATTCGACACTCTGAAGCAGCCTCGTTGCTGTCGTGCTCCTGGCTGCACTAGTCGAAGTCGCTGTCGCTGCTCAAAGTGCGACATCTACTTGTGCCTTAACAAAGACCGAAATTGTTTTTTCGATTTTCACAACAAAGACTGAATTTAATTAATACTTATTATTAAACTGTGAGAAAATTGATCTCATTTCATGCTAAAGTTGATCTCATTTAAAGCATCTGTTGATTATTATTAATGTAAAACTAGTACAAAGTTATGTTATGTGTTTTGTAATAAATATCTTTGTAACTTTTTCATGTTTATTTCATTTAGTGTTTCTCTTCAGAAAAACGTAAAAAAGGAGGCGTTAGGCTCAATATGATACAAATGTGACACTCACGATTGTACGTAGGAAATGAAGGGCCCAGTATGATACAATTGTTGGTATATATATTTTTTGTTCCGAAAAAGGATCAATGTTTAACATGCTCTAATTTCAACAAAGCTAGTAATGACGAGAAACTAGTATTGAAAGGGGAATATGAGGATCATTTAGCAAGGAAAGAGTCCTGTAACTCGGCAAAAGCGAAGGATAAAGAAAGAGCAGAGAAAGATAAAGAGTTTTGCTGTGTAACATTCGACTTACAAGCTGTGTTACAGATACCTTCTGGTATCTGTAACTGGATCTGGATGAAACTGTTTTCAATCGTTCAAAAGATTGTAATGGAAATTAAGTGAAGTGGCTGAAAATAAAGAGAATACAATATCTTAAATACAATATCAAAAAGTTCAAAAATTTATTTCAACTATGACAATATGTCAGAAACTTTCTTACACATCGATGTCTCAAAAAATACGGAACCATCTCAACATCTCAGCCCGACTCAGCTCAACGCTACGCCTCAGACTAATTCTATCACCTTAAAACAGCTTTACCTGAATCCTTTCCCCGTCAGTGAAGCTAAAAAGAGAGATCTTCTCAGTTTATGCACTAAGAAAATAATTCCTGAGGAATATCATGGTTGGTACTCTTCTTTACCAACTGCAACCAATGAAGCAGATCATTTACCTGAACCTTCGGTTGACGAAGAGTCATCGCAAGATTAAGATACTTTAATTCATTGAATTAAAAGTCGGTCACCCAATAAAATTCGTCTTAAATACAGTTTGATTTTTCTTTATTAGTGATCAAAGTTTGATTGCCATAATTATGAGATAAGTAATAAAATAGATTGATTATTAAAAAATTGTTTCATTTAATATCGTGTTATAGATTACCTATGTAAATATTAATTTATTTTTATCTATTATTAAATTGATCACTTTGTAGTTAATTTAATACATAATAAGAGACATACTTACACTAAAACTCTACAGGTAAAACAGGTTAAATGTGGCAAAAATATCAATATCTTCGGAAATTTTGTAAAAAAAATCTTTCCTATCAAGTCATCATCATCATCACATCAACAGCCTTTAATAGTCCACTGCTGGACATAGACTTCTCCTTAGAAAGAAGGTTTTGGCCTACTATACCACGCTGGCCAGGCGGGTTAGTGTAGGGTTTGTGTCAAGTTTTCCGTCTTTTTGCAGTGCTGGTGTCCTGCGTTGTTTTGCGCCCTTAGTCGGTTCTTACGACACCCACGGGATGAATGATGATGATGATGATTCTTAATCCGTCACTACACATCCGTCCTATCAAGTAGTTGGTGTAAAATACAATAAGCTATTATAAAAAACTGAAATGAGCTTTTGAAATCAATGAGTTCGGTAGATATAACATGTTGGTTAAGTACAGGTAAAACATATTAAATGCGACCCCCTTTCGATCTAAATTAAATTTTATGCAGTTTTTACGTACATCAAATATTATATATGAGTAAATCTGAAAAGTGAGATAGTTAGTGCAACATTTTGCTTTAACAGTCTTTTAATTAAAGAGTTTGAATTAGATCAAATCAAAACGTAAACTTTAAAAAGTCATTTACTCGAATTGACATTAACTGCACTTATTACTTTTTACCCGAAAGCAGACGATATAATGTTTGCGCACTGCGTTGCATACAAAGGCTATTAAACCGAGCGATGAGGGTTTCCAAATTATAGGCGTTAAAAAAAACCGCTAAGGCAGGCGTCGTGTTACGTGTAGCTAACGAAAGGCAGCTTAAGAAACTATTAGGTCCTTACATATGAAATTGGCGATTTACACGGGTGGAATATAGTCATTATTTTTTGAAAATTATATATAAATTAATAAAAGGAGCCCAGATAACGAAATCATTAAACTCACATACAAGCGATACCGGAACTACTGTAACAATGTTATAAAAAAGGCCAAAATGTATTACGACAGAAGGGATATCGAAGCGTCGGGAAAGGATAAAGGGCAACTATGGAACGTTATTAAGAGAATCAGCAACACTAATGTCATCACAGATAATTCTATAAATCTCATCAAGAAAGACAATCCGAACCATAGTGTCAATAGTGTCAACAGTTTTTTTGCTGATGTTGGTAGAAAGCTCGCTTTGCGAACAACCCCCGCGACACCGAGCACATCTACTCGGCATTCCCATGCTGCCTTCGCCAATTCATTTGTCTTGTTCCCTACCGATGAATCTGAAATTAACTCTCTGATTCTGCAACTAAAAGACAAATGTGCTGTTGGCCTTGACCAGATTAGTGGGGGGATGCTGAAGAGGTATGCCAATGTTCTCACATCTCCCCTCACCCATATCTGTAATTTAGCGCTGACCACAGGGATCTTTCCGTCAGTTTTTAAAACAGCTATCATTAAACTAATATACAAAACCGGGGACAGACACTGTGTCAATAACTTCCGCCCTATTTCAATTCTACCAACGCTGTCTAAAATCCTTGAACGAGTGATAAACAACCGACTAATAAAATATCTTGAGAACAACAAACTCCTATCGTCGTCTCAGTTTGGATTCCGACGTGGTAAATCAACAAGTGATGCAGTTCACGAACTAATGTCCTCTGTCATCCAACATCTAGATGATAAGAAAAAATGCTTAACAATATTTTTGGATTTAGCCAAGGCATTTGCCACAGTCTCTGTTCCCCACCTATTGGTGAAACTTGAGAGGGTTGGTGTGAGGGGAGTGACTCTGAAATTAATGGCGAGTTATTTAACCGAAAGATGCCAAAGGGTTAAAAATAGGAGGTTGGTTGAGCCCCGTCGATGGCTGCATCAGCCGGAGACGACGGAGGCAGCGAGGGTGATGTTCCGCCCGTCAGGGAATCGGAGTTGGGGGCGGCTGTTCTACGGATTCGATCCAAGAACACCGCCCCCGGGCCGGACGGGGTTCCAGCCCGAGTGATGGCCCGAGCCCTCGACTACATGTCGGACCACCTCAGGGGGGTGTTGGACGCTAGCCTGGCGTCCGGACGCTTCCCTGAGCGCTGGAAATGCGGGAAGCTGGTCCTGCTGCAGAAGCCGGGACGGCCTGCCGATTCGGTCGCGGCCTATAGGCCTATCGTGTTGCTGGACGAGGCGGGTAAACTTTTTGAGAGGGTGCTCTCTGCCCGCATCGTCCTAACGCTAACTTCCAGGAGGTGGCGCGCCTGGCCGCCACGGGAGTTTCCCTGGTGGTCGGGCGCATTGAGGCGTTGGGTTTGCGGGTGGCCCTGGATAAGACGGAGGCCCTATTATTTCATGGGCCCCGTCGTGGTCCACCCGCCGGCGCCTCAATCGAGGTCGGCTCGGTCCTCGTACCGGTCCGGGCCCAGATGAGGTACCTGGGTATGGTCCTAGACGGTAGGTGGCTCTTCGACGAGCACTTCCGACAGCTTGGTCCGAAGCTGGTGGACACTGCCTCCGCCCTAGGGCGACTTTTGCCCAATTTGGGCGGGGCCAGTGTTCCCACGAGGCGGCTGTACGCCGGGGTTGTCCGGTCCATGGCGCTTTATGGTGCACCGGTGTGGGTGGCGGCTCTGACCGCCCCGAATAGGGCGCGCCTCTGGCGCCCCCAGAGGATATTGGCGGTCAGAGCCATACGCGGATACCGCACGGTGTCCACCGAGGCGGCTTGCGCCTTGGCCGGAACACCCCCGTGGGATTTGGAGGCGGAAATGCTCGCCGAAGTCTATCGGCGAGTGGCTGACTTCCGGGCGGAGAGCGGATTTCGCCCTCCGCCCGAAGACGTGCGCGAGTGGCGCGAAGCCGCTCGCCGAGCCACTATGGTGAGATGGTCGTTCCGGCTGGAGACTCCACGCGCTGGCTTCGCCGCCGTGGAGGCTCTCCAGCCGGTCATCGCCGAGTGGGTAGGGCGGCAGCACGGGACCCTTTCCTTCCGGCTGACGCAGGTGCTTTCCGGGCACGGTTGCTTCGGAAAGCACCTGTACTCAGTCGCTAGGAGGGAATCGAGTCCCGCCTGCCACCACTGCGACTGCAGTGAGGATTCGGCCCAGCACACGCTGGCGGTTTGCCCCGCATGGGCGACGCAGTGCCTGGCCCTCACTGCAGTCATCGGAGCAGATCTCTCGCTACCGGCCGTAATTCGCTCCATGGCCGGTAGCGACAGTTGTTTTACCGCGGTCGCAACCTTCTGCGAGGAGGTAATCTCGCAGAAGGAGGCGGCGGAGAAGGCCCGGGAGGACGACCTCCACTCGGACCTGATCCGCCGCCGGCGAACCGGGCGGCGGAGGCGCGCTCACCTGCGCCTCATGCCGCCCTGAGTGTGGCCGCGGGTGGACGGGATGGGTTCTCCCCTCCACCCGCATTAGTTGGCCAGCCGCGAGGGGGCGGCGTCCGCGTGTGCCGGACGCCGCCTAAAGAGAGGGTCCACTGAGACGGAGCCCGCGTCAGGAGCGGGCCGGCGCTGGGAGGGGTCCAGAAGGAGATAGCTACCTGGACCCTTCCTAAACTGGAAGCGCAAAGAGGGCACACCGTGTGGTTTTAGTCGGTTCGAGTCCGAGACACCGCCCCGCCGAACGAGAGCCCCGGCGGGGTGACGGTCCGAGGGGATTTTCTACGTTGAATTTGGCGTGCCGCAGGGCAGTATACTTGGCCCTACCTTGTTTCTGGTGTATATTAACGAACTGTGCCAGTTAAAATTCAACAAAGGCAAAATAATTACGTTCGCTGATGATACTGCCTTGTTCTTCGGTGGCGATAGTTGGGAAGAGGTTTTTAACAACGCTCAGTATGGCTTCAACATAGTGAAACAATGGTTGCAACATAACGTATTGACACTTAATATATCAAAGACCAAATATGTAACATATGCTCATAAGACAAATCTCTTACCACAATCATTTGACATTAAAGCCCATGATTGCACGACCTTTAATCATTGCTCATGTCCCAGTCTTCATAGGACTGAGGTGATTAAATATCTGGGTATTATCATTGACCAAACACTAACCTTTAAACCATATATTAGCACCCTAGTTTCAAGGCTGCGAAAGATTATGTATGTCTTTAAGAGCTTAAGATTCACAGCTGATCGTAATATTACCAAAACAGTTTACTACGCGCTTTGTAATTCACTGATTAGCTATTGTATTACCACGTGGGGTGGTGCTGCCAAAACTCATCTCTTGGAAGTTGAAAAGGCACAGCGTGGTATTTTGAAGGTAGGCGCAGGGCTGCCATTTCGATTCCCGACAGCTCAACTCTATAAAGTTTGGGATGTATTAACCGTGAGACAGTCATTTATACTCAATATTATACTTAGGTAACATAAACAGACGCCTTACAACCCTAATATTCTCAAGGACAAGCGTAGGAAGGGTAAGGTTTGTACGAATAGGAAATTAAACACGGCACTCTCTCATAACTTCTTCTGCTTTCTCGGACCGTACCTTTATAATAAACTGAACAGCGCTTTACAAATATATCCAAAATCAACATTGAGATGTAAAGAAATAGTTTCTAAATACCTAAAAACCTTAGACTATCAGAATACGGAGGAACTTTTAAAACCTCTGATCTAGTATTTAGTATTTGACTTGGTTGGACGGGTGGTTGGGATGTAGATGAGTAATCGGAAGTAATCAGTAATCACTCATACATACACATGCTCCCACACATATTTACACAGGCATATAAACTCACTTGCAGATACACATATTATTCTATT